CAGCATTTCTTCTGTCGGTTTACTGAACTCCTCTGCAGTAGAGAAAACAGGAGACGCTTCAGAAACACACAGATGACCAGCCATAACTCAGAGTTATACAAAGAGCAAAGAGCACTGTCCTTATAGATAAACTGCTGCAATATCAACAGCTCCATTCTGACTAAAACAGCCGCAACGGCGCACGATGATGTCCAACAGCTGCTGTATTGCTCAGACTGTTGTGAGGTTATTGATCTGCTGTCCACACTTCCACAGCTATCAGCCAATCAGATCAAGAACCAGACAGAACTGTTGTATACATGTGTGTATAGTTATATGTAAGTGTTGGTAGCATGATCTGATGAGCTGGGTATAGCCGTCAGGACACTGGAACATGACGTTAACAAGCAGTTATAGAGAAAAAAAGAGGTTATAGATCAAATGTCTGAACAGCTTTAATTATTTGTGCAATATAACGTTACGGGTCGGCCATGGACAAAACAAACCTAGCGACTAACAGGAATCGTATAAAACATCTATGAAGTGGTATTTAGTTTGCCAACACCACTGACACTCAGCTCAGACACTGACACTGCCCTCAGAGAAGAAGATTTACTGCTGGTTTAATAATAATACTAATAATAATAATATGTGCTGTACTGTCTCTGGCATTTTAAAAATACAGATGTCATGTAGGCAGGCTACCCCTAAATTACTAAGATAGTAAGTCTTACTAAGGTTTAAGGTAGGTTAGGTTGGGGTTAGGGTAAGTTTTAGGGGTTGGGTTAGAGTAGGGTTAGTTAGGGTTTATGCTAGGGTAAGGTTTAGGAGTTTGGGTTAGAGTTAGGGGTTTGGGTTAGAGTAAGGTTTAAAGGTTGGGTTGGGTTGGGTTTGGTTGGGGTAAGGTTTAGAGGTTGGTTTAGGGGTTTTAGTAAACAGATGACGACTTTTTGTAAGGTTTTCTGTAGACTGTAGACTGGTGTAGGTGCCTCCAGTCAACATCCAAGGAGATCTGTACGTCCAAGATGACTAAAGAACTCCCTAAAATGAGGCCAGAGACATCCAGATAGGTGGTGCACCCCCCGCTCGCTCGCTCGCTCAAGAGAAATGAACGATATTTAAGAGGTCAAGACAAGGTTCAAACTAACAAATGTATACCAGAAGACACACCAAGCTTTTACCAATTCTCTCCCCAAAGCCAATGCAAGAACCAAACCAACATCATCCTTACTAAAGATATCCACTGGACGCATTAACCCTAGAGGTAAGCACAGTCTGAGAGCAATGAGCAGGTGTAGAGAGACGACATCCTCCATCATGAAGACTTTTCTCATCATCATGTGTTTTTTGCTCTTATTTGTATTTTATCATTCAGAATTTGAGTTTCTGATGTCCATGTTGCTTTTCTATACTTTAATCATCATATTTAAGCCTATAAAGCCCTTTAAATTCAATTCAATTAGAATTATTAGAGACTAGAGCAGACGTGAGTGACTCATCAGTATTCGTGTTTTAGACTAATCCTGTGTCTCCTCAGCTGAGTGTGCTTTCAGTCAGGTTTAATCCTTTATATCTCGCTTGTTTTTTAATGTTTTTTTTTTCATTTTTTCTTTATTTTAATCTGTATATTGTGTAGAATAAGTGTTGAACAAAAAACTGTCATTATTGATAGAAATGTTTTTGTGGGGTTACTGTTTATGCGGAGTGTAGCGGATTTAATGATGATGATGATGATGATGATGACAATGATGATGATGATGATGATGATGGTGATGATGATGATGATTATGATGATGATGATGATGATGATGATGATGATGATGAT